CCAGGGAGGCCCCGCCCCCGGCAGCAGGGGAAGCCCCATCCCAGGGAAGCCCCGCCCCCTCCCCCCCGGGACTGCCCCACTCACCGTGCCTACAGGGTACACGGGGACGTAGGCGGTGCAGGGCTGCAGCTGCACAGGGTAGCCAGGGTGCATGTACCCCCCGATGGGCAGGGTCCCCATGGGCGGGTGCGTCTGGACCATGTACCCCTGGGGGGGGGCGTTGAACTGGGTCTCCTGCATGTAGGGGTCGGGGGGCAGGCGCGGCAGGGTGGCTGAGTGGTGGTGGGGGGGCCGGGGCAGGGTGGCCGAGGTGGGGGGCGGCCGGGGCAGGGTGGCAGCCCCCCCGAGGCGGGGCAGGGTGGCGGTACCAGAGTGGGGGGGCAGGTGCGGGGGGTCACTGTAGCCGGGGATGAGGGGGGCATTGTTTGGGGCGTCGGGTGGGGGAGGGGGCGGCTGCAGTGGGGCATTGTAGGGAGGGGGGGAGGTGTGGGGGCCAGAGTCCGGTAAGCCTGGGAAAGAAAGGGGGTAAGGTTAGAGACCCCCTTATATACACAGCGCCCCCTATATACGTACACAGACAGTGCCCCCTATATGTATGGCCCCCCTATACACACACAGAGTGCCCTCTATATACATGGCACCCCTATATACACACACAGGGTGCCCCCTATATACATACACAGATGGCACCCCCTATGCACAGCACCCCTCTATACACACACAGACAGTGCCCCCTATATGCACGGCCCCCCTCTATACACACACAGACAGCACCCACTATGCACAGCACCCCTATATACACACACACAGAGTGCCCCCTCGTCCTGGGGGGCTCCGGGGGCACCCACCCTAGAATGGGGGGCGCCGGTTCCCGGGGGTTCTCTCTCGTGAGCACCGATCCGGCGCCGCTCTCGTTTTTTAGGTCACCTTCCTCGTTCACTCAATCTATTTATAGAGGGAGACAGAGGAGACACAGAGCCCGGGGGGCGGGGGAGCAAACAGCGAGAGATGGTGAGAACCAGGATGTGTGTGGGGGGGAGATGGATGGATGGATGACCCCCCCCGCCCACACACACACACAAAGCTCTGCTGGTGCCCCTCAATCACACCCCACAGCCCCGGGCTCCCCCACGGCCCCTCCCCCCAGCCCGGCTCGGGGGTGTCATGGGTGGGGGTACAAATCGCTGGGCCGGGGCTATGGCGGAAGGCTGGAGTGGGCCGACACGGAGGGGGAGCGGCGTTAGGGGTTACGTCTACACAACAAAAATCAGCAAGGCTCGGAGCCCGGGTCTGGCTTGTGCTACAATGCTGCAAACGGCCGTGTAGGTGTTTGGGGCTGGGAGACCCCCCCGCCAAGCCCCTAAGGTTTCCAAGCCGCAGCCCGAATGTCTACACAGCGCTTTGAATGCTTGTGGGGCAGCATTTCACAACGCTGAAAGCCCTGATGAGCCAAATCAGCGGGCAGGAAGAATTTCATCAGAAAAACGTTAATGTTCATTAGGAATAGTTTGCTAGAGGCCCAAACCCACAATTGGGAAAGGAGGCCAAACTGGTTAAAAAATACAACCTGGCTTAGAGGGGAAGTGTAGGCAGCTATATAAAATAAAACATAACAAATGGAAACGAGGGGAAGCTGATAGTAATGAATATGAATCAGAAACTAGGAATTGTAGAAAATTGATAAGGGAAGCAAAAGGACACAAGGCAAAATCTTTGGCAGCAGAGTTAAGGACAATAAGGAGTATTTGAAATATATTAGCTATACAAAGAATCCTGATAATGCTATTACTAGATGGAAATGGGAGAATTATCGATAATAGTGCAGATGAGGCAGACGGGTTAAATAAATATTTCTGTTCTCTATTTGGCAAAAAAAAGCCAGATGATGTAGTAGTCTCAGATGATCATGGTGAAGAATCACTTTCTATTCCACTAGTATTCAGGACAATGTTAAACAGCAGCTACTAAAGTCAGAAATTTTTAAATCAGTAGGTCTAGATACCTTTCTTCCGAGAAGTTTAAAGGAGCTGGCTGAGGAGATCGCTGGATCGTTAATGTTGATATCCAACATCTCTTGGGCCAATCAGGAAGTTCCAGAAGATTCAAAGAATGCTAATGTTGTGCCAATATTTAAAAAGGGTCAATGGGGTGACCTGAGTAATTAAAGACCCGTCACCTGACACTGATCCCAGGCAAGAGAATGAAACGTAGGATATGGGCACTCCATTAATAAAGCATTAAACTAGCGTAATATATTTAATGCCAATGCGCAGGGGTTTATGGGAAATAGATCTTCTCAAACTAACTTGATATCTTTTTGTGATGAGGTTATAAATCTGGTTGATAAAAATAATAGCTCATCTTGGAAGGATCCTATTTCTACTGGTGATTTCACCACACACACAAACTGATGAAAAGAGATTTCTACTGATCATAAACACAATGTGCAGACAGCCAAAGAAAGGAAAAAACGCAGCTTGAGAACTGAATCGAGTTTGCTTTAAGAACATTGACGTTGGCTATTCGGGCATGCTGTTGGCGATTTCGGTTTGAATGGTTATAAATCATAGAATCAGAGACCTTGGCCTGTCCTCAGAGGTTAAGGAGAACAATTTACCTCCCTCCTCCTTGTAACAAAGCTTGAACTTTCTGAATCGTAACGTTAAATAACTCCTGTCTGACTGCCCTGATCATTACCTGCAACTGCGAACATGTAAATCGATAAACATTACACAATGCGTCACACCCATCATTTTGCGCAACTGTCAATATTTCAATTGATGAAAATATTTAAAAAATTAAAAACCAACGTGGATATTATCAAAAAGCAAAACTCGCCTTCTGCCCAGCCTACTCCTAGTGCTGATGTACGACACTCGGCCTTCCGTGAGGCGTCCGCCGCGGTACCGCACGACATTGTACAGAGTCAACCCGGATGACACCGGGGCCAGCCATTCTCGGGGGAAGAAAGAGAAAGGCCCTGGCTGAATTCAATGAAGACAGGGCACAGCTGTGGCTTTGACAAGGTATCCCCAGAGGTACTACAGCATCTTGGGAAGACACCAGCCAGCACTGCTTGGCCATCTTCATGTCACTCAGCGTGCGGGACAGCCACGAGGTGGCGGAAAGCCAAGGTGAAGAGACCACCGTTGTCAGCAGTATCACAGACTCCCACAGAGCCTCCCGCCCAGGGCCGAAGAGCGTTGGCGTGGCGCTCCGGCTGATTTCCGCCCAAAGCGAAGCACCACTGACCAGTGCTGGCCCTCGCTATGTGCGCTGAGAATGGATTTCCAGAGAAGACGAAAACTGGGCTCTTTTTGTGACCTGACAGCAGCCGGTGACACCGGTCGGCTGACAAGATAGCACAGGTTCTTCCTCGCAGGTGGGTTGTCATCGTGGCAACCGAGCTGCTGCTCCAAGGTCGATGTTTCCAGGTGGCTCTGGGCCACCACAAAGTGCCTGGAGATTCCAGCAAACCAGACTCTCCCAAGGCTGGCACCACGTCTAACGCATCCACCACGGACCTGCTGAACACCGTCTCCAGCTGGCTCGTGGGCCCCAAGGGGCCGTGACTTGCAAAGGCTGAGGAGGGCCTGAAGAGTCATTGGGCTGCCCTCCGTGATTGGTGCGAGAAATAGGCCACTGCTCCAGGATAGGAGACGCGCCCGCCACCGAGTGTAGCAGGACTCCTACCGGGATGGTGCTGCACACCCCCAGCAGCAGCTCACCGGGGTGGACAGGCTGGGAGGGAGCCCCAGCCACTCCTGGGAACTCCCACACCAAGGACCTGGCTTTGGGCTCTGGCGCCAGCAGCACACGGTCAGGTGGGGCGCGATTCGCTGGGCCAAGGCCGCCCGTGCCTGCGGCATCCAGGACAGCCCACTGTGCATCCGGACGAGGCGCTTCACGCTGGACCCGGCAGACTCAGAACCCATTGCGGGGCTCAAGACCATTTTGCATTCCCGCCCCCCCCCCCCATAACTTTGCCTTGCCCAAGCGTCATCGTTAGCTAGCTAGATACCCACAAACAGGGACTCCCCGCCGAGCCCAGGGTGTCCAGCGGGTCCCTCATGGATCCATTCTTGGCCCTCCGCAAATTCATATTTTTCTCAACGACTTGGGAGAAAACATCAAACCGTGACAGATAAAACGCGCCAACGACACAAACCCCGGAGAGCGGGACCAGCGAAGAGGCAGGGCCTGGATCCCGAGGGTCCGGTGGGGCGCAGGGGATCTGGGCCAGAGCCAACAATCTGCGTGTCAATCCGGCTCCGTGTGAACGTCTCCATCGAGGAGCAGAGCGTGGCAGCCGCAGGGCCAGGCTGGGGGCTGCAGGGCCGCCGACCCAGGCTGTGGGCGATGGTGGAG